ACTTGTGTACAAAGGATATATATCCCATTTTTTTGCGAAGTGTTCCGTTCCGGGACGGTGGCCACTTTATTGGGAAGTCCATGTTGGAAGGCTTTTGTATTTCGCGTGCGCTTTCAGGAGTGCACCTCGCACGGGATTGTGCGCTGCAAGTTTTTGGGACCAATTTTGTCAACTTTTCAAAAGAAGAAACAGAAAAACAAACAAGTTGTCAACAAAAAAGGAGGCCACACTTTGGCAAAATTCAAATTTTCGACCAAAAAGGGGACCTCCCAAGTGAGACTTCCGTTGGAGATGTTGGACCTCGGCCACGTAAGAAAGTGGAAAGCCCCAAGAAGACGCCTTTGGTGCAGCGGGGAAACCGGCGAAATGGTCAGAGGCTTTGCCGCCTTCGTGGCAGCCACGCGGCAGCAACTGAAGGCTGGCCGCTTCCTTTTGCCGTTCTTACAGGCGCCCTCGAGTGGCACGGATTCCTTAAAAATAAGCTCGGGCGATATCCCCAACAGCCCAGAATCCTCGCGGAACGCCCCGGGACCATCCTTACCGCCGGTGTTGCTGAGGATGCCGCCTTGTAAAGCAGCGCAATCTCGCCCTGATCGGGGCCCGACGGTGCAATCGGGGCCTGATCGGGGCCCGACGGTGGAATCGGGCCCCGATCGTCCCGTGGTGCAACCCCAGCCACCCATATTACAGCTCAACGCCGGTTTTCCTTAACATGCGGAGTACTGTATCTATAGCAAAACTAGGCGATGCCAGCTTGCTACAAGTGACGGGGCCCGACTCAGCCCGATCGGGGCCCGACGGCGCAATCGGGGCCCGATCGGGTGCAATCGGGCCCCGATCGTCCCGTGTGCAACCCCAGCCACCCATATTATAGCTCAACGCCGGTTTTCCTTAGTATGCAGGATTGCAACTGTATCTATAGCAAAACTAGGCGATGCCAGCTTGGTACAATTGACGGGGCCCGACTGAGTCGGGCCCCGATCGGGGCGCGATGGCGCAATCGGGGCCGATCGGGCCGAAACGGTGCAATCGGGCGGGCCCCGATTGCACTGTCGCCCGGTGAACCTCGCAAACCGTTCTCACGCAACTTTCGTGGAGCTCAGCGTGAAACTTTGCTGGAACCTTTCCTCAGGGCTGCCCCATAGCTTGTGCAGAATTTGGTGGAAACCTTCTGACCTCATAGCCCTCGCAGCCTCGTGGAATTCTTGGAGCCCAAAGCCCACCAAGCAGCAATGCCAAGCATTTACTCTGCTGCACCGTGAGTTCCGCAGCGACGTGATCTGATTTGCCACAAAGCCAACATTTGCCTGAGCAAGTGAGCAAGTCACAAAACAGTGAAAATGTGCTAAAAACCATTGATTTCGGGTTTGCTTAGTGTTCCGCCCATGAGCAAAGCGATCTTGATCCGATGGCTTTTCAGACGACGGGCGCGCGACACACCCTTGGTGGAGCATTGTGGAGCCTTGTGGAACCCGTGTGGAATCCTTGCAGAGCTTTGTGGAACCCTGTGAAACCTGAGGGCCCACAGCCCTCGCAGAATCTTGTGGAACCCTGAAACCCTCATACAACCTTACCTCAAACCACCCTGGACCACCCCGCAGCCCTCGCAGAACCTCGTGGGACCCTGCTAGAACCGTGCTGGAATGGAACCTTACCTTGCAAGACCTGATGGAATTCTGGTGGAATTCTCATGTAACATTACCTCAAACCAGCCCGGACCGCTCGTGAAACCCTGGTGACACCCTGGTGGAACCCTCGTGGAACCTTCCCCGGACCACGCCGCACCCTCGAAGAAATTGGAACCCTCGTCCGGAGCACGACGGGCTGGTGGAACACAGGTGGAAACCTGGTGGAACCCTCGTGGAACCTTACCTCAAACCACCTCGGACCACCCTGCAGCCCTCGCAGAACCTGGTGAAACCCTGGCAGAATTCTGGTGGAAATCTGGTGGAAATTTCGTGGAACCTTCCTCAAACCACACCAGCCCTCGAAGAAATTGCTGGAACCCTGGTGGAACCCTCGTGGAACCTTACCTCAAACCACCCCAGACCACCCCCTGGTGGAACCCTGGTGGAACCCTGGTGGAACCCCTGGTAAAACCCTGGTGGAACCTTAGCTCAGGGTCGCCCCGAACCATCCCGGAGCCGATCTGGGCTGAGACCCCAAAGCTTTCAGCTGTTGGGGAAAAAACATTGACTGCTATTGGGTTAGATCTTTAGACTTTAACTTCTTGGGAAATCAAGGGGTTTCCCATTAAATCCACAAAAGGTTTAACTTTTTGCAGAGGGGTCAACAGCAACCAAGAATCCTGCAAGTGAGGAAATCAAAGGGAGCCCCTCTAAAGTTGTGTCTTTCATTTGGTGAACTTTGGGCCCGCTGTTGGCCCCGTTGGCACCAGCAAAGGGAACTCAAGCAGACATGGCGGCCTTGTAGACCCTTTCGGAAGCCTGCGGGAAGATGACAGATCTTTTCTCGTATTGGGCGTGCAGTCGAGAGATGTTTGTCGGTTCAGCCGTGGCACCCGGTGCCCTGCAAAGTGCATTTGTCCTGATCCTTCGGGATGAGGGGCCGATAGATTCAAATTACCCACCATGCTTGATGTCCCCAAGTCAAGCCAAAAGGGCATGAGGAAGTGCCTTTGTTAATGCTAACCCCAGATTAATCAATCCCTGTATATTAAAATGGGGGTGTTCCCTTCCAAAAGTGCTGAATCCCCACTAAAACCAGGGACACCCTCCTACTGTGGATGGACGAAATCCTGCACCACTTAGAAACCATGGGAACTAATTGTTTGTTGTTATTTTTTTACAGTGGAATCATGGTTCCAGGGTTTTGTTAGGTGGTGCGAAATGGATTTCGTCCCTCCACAGTATTAATAAGCATGCGTTGATTCATCCGGGTCAACATTCCTCCGAGGGCCTGCCAGTAATTCGGCCTGCAGGATTTGCAGCCCGCGCAGTTGCGCGCACCCCAGGGCTGGTCACGATCTTGCCCGGGGTGGCATCCCTTCAGACGCTTCCATTTTTTGTTTTTACAAAACAATAAATAGACACAATATTATTATTTTCCCCTGTTGGTTTTAAAAGGAATCGATCACTACTGGACATATGTTCATTTTTCCCAGGGAGCTCAAGCAAATGGAAGGACGCGTTTGGGATCGGAGAAGGGACAAGCAAGTACAGTTCGCCTGGCTAAATGTGAAAGCTGATCATGATTGGTGTCATCAGTTTGTTTGCATTATTACTAGTTGTAACATTCTGATGTGTTGTCATTTTCTGCGCATACGCAGATAGATAAGTTTGCACATATGTGATATGGCAACAGGGCCAGATGTGTTTGAGGTGAAGCTGCCTTCGGGTCTCACTGGGGGTAAGGAACGAACTTTCTTGTTTATCTAAAGACCGGCCCGGATTCCTGCAACGAAAGGGCCAACAGGGGGTGGCCCCTAAGTGATGAATCCCCACTGAAAGAAGACAACCCCTATCCATCAACCAGTGCTCCAGGATTTCCATTAGTCACCAATAGCCACTATTCGACTGCAATCCTTCACTGTGGCTCGGAGTGACCCGTCAGAATGGTTTTCAAATCTGCAGCTTTCGCACGGGTGCCTCCAACCAAATCCTGGACTACAGCCCCTATGGCCACCGGGCTCGAAAGTGAACAAATGCTCAAACATTCTCTCAAAGTCTTTTGCCTGACGATGGTGGTTTCCCTTGTTGCAGCGGTGTCCCACTTTGGATCTCGTAGTCCGAGATAATCATCGTCACGCAACACATGCTTGGACCTCAGGCTCCACGAGAAGTTGCTGACGGACAGCTCAGCTTACGGCAAGCTTAGACTGCCATCCTCGCAGCATGTGATGACAAGCACGGTTTGGTACGCTTGTTTGTGTGTCTCACCTCCATTTGGAGGAAACTTTTAAGGATGTGGCTTTGCGCAGTTGGTCTTGTAAGTTTTTGCTTGCTTGATTAGTCTGCTTTTGTGTCCAGAAGGAAGGGACAAGACATGGTCAGATATGTTTGGAGGTGTTCATTTGAGGATGTTGAGGTGAGGCGGGTGCAGATTGTATGACATGCGCACTGAAGGTTCAAGGCCATTGTGCCAGACACCTTGAAGTCAGCGCAGAGGGCAAGGGTTGCATGCGATGATCTATTTCCCTAACTGTAGGCATGTTTCCGGGGGATGCGCGGATCTCATGCAGGGCTTTGCTAACATCCAGCGTCCAGAGAAAACTGGGAGCAGTCTGAGTCTCAGACTTTGACTTTGTTTAGGTACCCTTCAGTGCCAACATGCGCGAACCACCAAAACACCTCAGCCTTTTGCATGTTTACTTCGAGGAGTGCATCGACCAATTGAGGGCAATGTAGAGCTCTGGCTCAAGCCAATCGAAGTCAAAGTGTCCCTTCAGCCAGCCTAAGGATCAAGATCAGGTTTCTTGTTTGATGACAGCAAGGTCACCCATGATCCAGGTTTTTGTCCCATGATCCAGGATGTTTTCTTGGAGGGGTCCTTCTTGTTAGGGGTGTTTTTTGATTTACCTGTCCATCATGTACAGGAAGCTGCAGATGTTCCAGAGGTGTCAATTCCCACCTGCAGCTGTGCATTAGAAAAGAAATGGGTTGTTCTGGTTTTGAGGGTACCCTTTCTGGTTGGTTTTGAAAAGGAACCAAAAGGACCACCAGCATTTGGGGGGTCCGATTCCTACAAAAAGCCCAGATACCCCCCACCAACAGCCTCGGAACCGCCCGGAACCCTCCGAAACCTCCCTGAAGCTGTCCCGAACCACTCCCCAAAGATTTCAGATAGTGGGAAACAAGAGGCAGGCCACCCAAATGTTGTTTGTTTCGGCAGATGTTTCAAATTCACCACCCACATTTTGACAGATGTTGTTTGCCTTGGCAGCTTTCAGATAGCGGGGAAAAAAGAGGCAAGCCACCTCAAATGATTCAGAGCCATCACGGGAGATGGAAAGCTTATGGATGGTGCCATGAGACGTCGCCATGCGGCTACTGTTGCTCAGCTTAGCGGCGGGAGCCGCCGCCTCCGTGCCTCGTCCTGAAACACGGACCAGACCCCAGGCGCCAAGTCGCTCTCTCCGATCCCCGGCTCGAAGTCACTTTTGTTGGGTGGGCTCCCCCCCAGTTGCATGGCCACCCCTGCCAGGGTTCCCCTTTTTTTCGAGCAGAGCCATGTTGGAAGGCTTCTCAGATTTATTTTGCTTTTGGGGGTGTAGACCACAAGTCAGGACCCAGCCTCGAGCCTGGAATGGTCGAATTATGCAGAGGCACTGCTCCCCTTCCATCTTCTGTGTTGAGTCGGTCTATCGATCTTGGGATTTCACCTGTTTTGGAATTGCACCAGCCCATTTTGAAGAAATGAGCGGACTAGAGAGATGCCAGACCTTCCTTGGTGCTTGCTTTCCATGGTTTTTCAGCTGGGTTTCCCGTTTGAAAAGCAACTCTCCAACTAAAAGGTGAATGTTTTCCTGATGATTGGAGGTTTGGAAGGAAGCCGGGGACCACTCCCCACCTGTCCTCTGTAAGGATAAAAGATCAGAAGGCTCTGAGGGATCAAGGTCTTATGCACTGAGCTTCTAGTCGACCGACTATTTGCGGCGCAGATATTGACTTGTGTTGTCAAACCTGGGCGTGCACGCTCCAACGAAAATCACTCACCAGAGCTTCATGATGAGCGGATATGCCATGTGCGCCCGGTGAAGAGGAAAAACAGCGTGTGTTTCCTCCTGCCCCCCCCCCCCCCAATCACAGTTCCCATGTCAGGTTCGGTCAAAAAAGTCGATCGTCTAAAGTCCACACATTCCAAAGAGCCCTTTATGTACCTCTTAGGCTCTTTTCAGCATGCCTGCTAAGCTCAGTGAGTCTCCTTCGGTGACTCAGCTTCCATCATGACCTGTTCGCCATGGTGGAGGGGAAATCGTATGGCTTGGACCCAGTTGCTCAAGGGCATCCTTTTGCCCGTAGCTCGTCTCTCACTTTTTTCTTTGGCAGGAGGGCTTTCCTGTCAGCCCGCGTCCCGTTCTTTTTGTGAGCAACCCGCAGGATGGTTTCCGCCCGCCCAGGACTTTACGCATCAGTCCAACTGGGTGCTGTATGCAAATGCCTCGGAGTCGCTTGGTTGGCCCGGGCAAGAGGGCAAGTTAGGCAGTTTTGTCAGAGGATCCGACCGACCCAGTATGACATTAGGAAGACCTTATCTCGGCTGGTTTGGACGAGACTAGCTTGGGTGTTTTTCTCTTCTTCTTCTTTTTTTGTTTGGGGGGGGGTGGGCATGGAGTGGATCCTGTGATTCTGACCTCCATGGATGGAAGAAACTTGGATAGTATAGAAAAGGACTCCCACTCAGCTGGAAGTCCTTCTGGTCCTGGCAGAAAGGAGAAGCGCATTGGAAACACCCCAGAACCTGACAAGTTGCTTGCTTGTCATGGAGTAACCATCTTGATATTCGGACAAACTAGAGCATTGTCACCTTGTTTGAAGCCAAGCTGCTCACTTCAGATGGCCAATCGATGCCCACGATGGCGCCAAGCTTATGCTGATTTGTGCCAGCTGTAGCTGGAGCCAAGGAGTAGGATTACTTGCTCATTTGCAAGACGCAGTAAATTGACCTGATCTCTTCGTCGCTGTTTGACCTGATCTCTGCCCCCTTGCGAAGCAGGGATATCTCGTAGGGTTCTCTGCCAGCGAGTTTGGATTGGCAATGCTTTGCCCAAGTGGGGGTTCCCTGAAACTGCACCCAACACAAAGCCGCGAAATACATTGTATTTATGCTAGGGGAGACAGACACTATAAATATATGTATATATTTAGTACATATACTGCAAACAGTGGAAACTGAACATCCGCAAACGTTTCTGGGCAGAAAGTAGAAACGCGGGCCCTTGGGGGGGGGGGTGACCATAGATGGGTAGGTAGGTAGGTAGGTAGATAGATATGATGATATGCACACAACATATTTGACAGAAATCACTTCAACTAGGGATATTCCAGGCAACCCCTCTTCTTTTGAGTCTCAAGTTTCATCCCCACCGTCCGGGCTCTGAGGATTGCCCCCTTGTTGGAGACCCACCCGCGCTACGCCTCAGCCTTGAAGGCCAGGGGCGCCAGACAGAGGTTATTTTGTCCTGTTGGGGTGGCGTTAGGGGAGTTGTTTTAAAGGGGTTTTTAAGGGGTGACATATTTCTCTTTGGGGTTGTTGAGGTGAGTTTCTCTGAGGAATATAGGAGCCCTGCAAAATCTGGTGTCAACGGCGCAGCACTCCTGCGAATCCATGGAGGCCAGGCACCCTGAAATGAAGGTCCTCTTCCCACGCGAGGCTCAGGTGCTTTTTGGCTTTCATGGCCCATGGATCCTGTGAGCATGGGTGCAGCGCAGCTCCCTTTGCCAAGGGCATCCACGCACCGAACTTGGTGGTTTCAACATGCTGCAATGTGATAATTCCGAAGCCCCTCCCAAGGCATCAGTCCTTAGCCGCGGTGAGCTCGCAGTAAGTTGGACTAACAACTTGTTTACAGACGAGATGTTTGGCTACACACGAGATCTTTGTAGAGACAAAGCAGGACCGGATGAACCCAAAGGTGGGAGGTCCGGCCCTGAAACGATTCAGCGTGACTTGAATCGATGAAGGTTGTGAGGCATTTTTTGAGAACGAGTTTATTTATTTTTAGGGAGTCCCGGTTGAACACACTAAACCCACATTAAACCATGCTGGGATATGCACGGCCTTTTTCAATGGCTGCAGGTTACCCATGGTGTAGGTAGTGCTTTTTTTTGAAGTTGTTGCCATGGATGGCAAATGGATCCAATTGGGATGGTTGCGTAGGTTCCGATGAATTCCTGAGTCCCGGAGTAGATCTCAACGCAGCACAGGGTTGCATATACATCTGGTCTTACCAGCCCCCTACCTTTCAACTAGAAGTCAACATGAGGTTGTTGGAAGAGGTGTTCAAGTACGTTAAGGCTAGGTCCCCCAGTAGTGCCCTTGTACCTTTTTTTTGGGGGGAACGCTCCCCCTGCTAAACTAGGCTACAGAAAGAAAAGTTGGTACCCTGAGGCTAACCTCTCTGGAGGACCTGACCCGCCTGCGACTTCCGACAGGCTGTGGCGGTGGCCTATGGGCGGCTCAGCTTCGGGCTCTGGGGCGCCTTGACGGGCGCCTGCACGGGGCAGCAGCGACTGGGCGGGGAGCCCTGCGGTCAGGCCCTGCACTGCCACTCGGATCGGATCAAGAGGTGCTGAGCTCCGTTGGCACTTTGGCCGAACAAAAACGTGACCCCCTATGATACAATCAACCCCGGTTTACTGCCAGAGCTAAGGGCTTGAATCTCCTTTGGCCATGGGAATGTGACCCCATATTATACAATCAACCCCGGTTTGCTGATGGGGGTGGGGGCCCCTCCAAAAGTCCTCTGACCCGCCCCATGAATGGACTGGGGTTGATTAATATGGGGTTAACATTAGAATGTAACCCTCGCTGGTCCAAAGGGAATCGCCCTATTGACCCATTTGTTCCTGTTTGGTCTATGATTAGTTAAGGTTCTAGTGATATCCTCGCCCTTTGGGCGAGTGAGGAGGCACTAAACAATTTGGGAAGACAACTTTTCAGACATGTTTTAGGGATCCAACCTTTCTCGGTGGGCGCCTTCATCCAGAAACCTTGAGTTGGGTCGCATGTCAGGGAAGATCCTTCAAGCTATGGGAGAGGAGTTTTGGGACCCCCAGGTCCATGCTTGTTTGCCTGGCTGAACTGAGTCCTCAACCTTTTCAGTGGATTCCACCCTCGTTTTGCTGGCGTTTGGAACACATTCCTGGACGGGGAATTAAACTGTCCGTGATCCAATATGTAGATTTGTGGGGGATGGTCCTAACCCAAACCTCGTGAGCTTGTGTGTGTGTGTGTGCGCATTTGTGTTTGCATCTTGCATGCTAGGAGGGGGTGGATGCAACAACCTTATTTGGGTGGCAGCATGGGGGGAACTCGGAAAATAAATGGGTTTCCCTTCAGTTGCCCTGAAAAGCAACCCCAAAACCCTGTCCATCTCCCAAAAAATACGCACACCATTTGAGACAGACCTGAGCTAACCCCGCTTTGAACCTCCAAACCACAAGTCCAAACCACCAATTCGGTTTGTCTCGAAACGGGGGGACCCCCTAAATGGTTGGTTTCCTTTTGAAGTTCCCGTTCAAGCCACCGCAAACAAGATATCCTCAAAAATGAAGGTTGGTTTCCTTTGTGCGTGTTTTTTGTTTGAGCACCTTTCAAAACGTATCCTCAAAAACAGGTTGGTGCCCTTCTGTTTTTTCCTCAAAAGGGAAACATTTCTTGAACAAAGACACCCCAAAAAGGCATCCTTAAACAGGAAGGTTGATTTTTCCTGGTTGGTTTTTCCTTGTGTGTGTGTCTTAAACAAAAAACAAAAAAAGACAGTCTCCTCGAAAAAAGCCACCCCCAATTGGAGGGAGGCCCAGCCGAGGCGTGGCTGGGCCACTTCTGAAGACGCTGCAGCGCAGCAGCGCCAACCTCCAGTACCACGCCGCCAGCCTGGGCCGCTCAGCCCCGCAGCCGCTGCGCCAGGCGAGCTTCGAGCGGCGGGGGGCTTTTTGGACGTAAGGCGTCCGAAACCAAGGTCCCCCAGTAGTGCCCTTCCCTCCGCTTTTGTGGGGGAACGCTCCCCCTACTAAACTAAAATAGAGTACAGAAAGAAAGTTGGTACCCTTATTCTAGCCTCTCTACTAGAGGACCTAGAAACTCGCTCCCCGAGTTCATGGGCGTTAGTCACCTTTTGGGCTTGGACCCGTTGTAGTGGTAAACAAGAAGTGCCGACTTTTTCTGGCGATAATTCCACTCAGGAAGTGAGAACAAAAGCGGACCACGGGTACTGTTGATGGTTACGAAATCCAATTCGCAGCGAAGAAACCCTGTCATGATTCCGCCCGTAAAAAACAAACGAACAAGTGGTTTCAACCATGGTTTCAAAGGTGGTGCGAAATGGATTTCGTCCAGCCACAGTATGTCAAAATAGGAGGCCAAAACTGATTCTCATATAAGCTTGGGTGCTATTCAACTTGTTCGGGAAATTTGCACATGCCCACTAAAGAACGCAATGTGCTGTTTGTTTGTTTGTTTGCGCAGGGGCAACAGCCACCAAGAAAGGGTCCATGAAAGGTTATTTCCTGAAATTGGACAGTTGCTTATCCAGCACTGTAACCCTTTGAAGCCATGGACACCACTGTTTATTGGTTTTACGGGGGAATCGAATCATTCCAGGGTTTTCCTAGGTGGTGCAGGATTTTTTCCTAGTGGTACAATGTGACAGCTGTAGTACAACTCTTAAATTTGGCAGTGTGCGGTTTGGCGACCGACCTCTCATATAAATAGCTCTGGTGAGACATTTGGAAGTGGACGTTTTCATTTCTTTCTTGGGACGAGTGAGGCTTTTTGCTGCTCCACATGCAACCCAAAAATATTCTTTGGGAGGGACCTTTTGTTAGTCTCCGAGGCAGGCACCAAGGCCAGAAAGACCGGGATAAGCCTATGTCAGTTTGTTTAAAAGAAGCAAACAAATCCTCGACCAAAAGTGATGTTCTACGTGGCTCCCAGCCGTCCGGTTCCTCCAGTTTAACATATTTTAACCCACGGTGCAAGTCACTTGTGGAGCAGGGGATCCGAGCCCCGGGCAGCCCAGCGTTGGATTCCACGCGCCGAAGCGTGTGAAAAACGTCTCGCCGCAGGAGCTCGGGGAGGTGAGGCGTTTGGCCGCCAGCTTCCACGGCCCCAGCTGCGCACCGCTGGTGGCGGCCTTGCGCTCGGCCGCTCGTTGGAGGAGGGGCTCGAGGAGGATGTGCTCGGAGAAGTGGCGGTTAGGATCCCTGTGGACTTGAAGCGTGTTGGGGTTGGACCATTTGTTTTTGACTTTACTCACTTTTTGGGCTTGGAGTGCCATCTACTTTCAATCTGCTGTGAGATTGAGGCAATGTATGGAAGGGGGCGGATCTTGTTTGGGCTGTGCTTAGTCGAGGCGATCTGTTTTGGCTCGTGAGCCCTTTGGAGTGAAACCAATTTCCTGAGCCGAGGCTCTGGGAATTTCTGGTGCAGCTTTAAGAAATTCAGCCAGACGGGAAGGCCCCCGCAGATTTTCGCGGGTGGAAATGTGGCATGGGAGGAAAAAGAACATGCTTGCATGCGGTCCACCCATCATCTGGATCTGAGATTCTGAGATGAAGGGAAGATGATGGATGAGGGAGATGGAAGGGGAGTGAGATGGAGCGATGAGTGTAATGCCTTTCTCTGTCCTCGTCCCCATCTCCCAGCGGCTTTTGAAAGCAATGAAAGACAGGATGGGATGGCTCGCACACATTATTTCTTTGCATTTCTTTCTTTCGGCAAGGAGATAGACAGCTTGCCTCGTCTCATCTCACTGTTCCCCAGGTCCAACAAGTCTGTTTCTTGCAGGTTCGATGTCTTGGCCCATGGCTCATTTTGCTCCAAAGCGCATTTGTTGGGACGCGGGCTATTGATGAATGGCATGTCAAAGCCACACACATGTGAAGGAATCCCCTGTCGCATTTTTGCTGGCACACAGGCAGGCCCTCAAGCCTCACCATGAGATGCATGTTTGCTTGTTTGCATTGATGTGAGTCCTACCCTGCGAGATGGATTCCCAAGACCCTGATTCCCAAAAGGACAATTCTTGTGAGGATCGACTTGCAGGACTGCCCCGTGTGAGTCTAAGACCGAAGCCATGCAGCTGAAAGCGCATCAATTCCCAATTTTTGCTCAGGCAAGAGAGACGAAAGAGGCAGAGGCCCATTGCCTATTCGGCCACTGCCAAGCAGAGAGCAGCTGTGAAGACCATGTTTCTTCCCAAAAGGTGCGCCAAACCTTTGGGTTGCAATGTTATAAGTCACGCCCATCTTCTGGCATTGCTTCCGACTTGTTGTTTGATGCACGCGTGTAGAAGTGACCCGCCCACTTCAATACTCTCCTCAGACAGCGCAAAACCGGGCACGATAGACAAACATTGCCGCGCCCGCTAATTGGCGCTGCGCGGTCTCCTTCCTTTGCTGAGGCTTCGGATAACCAGTGCCTGGCGATCTTTATGGAGCCTCTCGGCTCCAGGGCAAAAAAAGCGCTCGCCCAAAGTTTGTGTGTTTTTTTTTTGGGGGGGGGGAGTTGTGCTAGTTTTTACCCAGATAAAAGATGGGGTAAACACCGAGATCAACGGGTAAACAAGTTCACCTATGGTGAAGGTCCCTTACTTCAGATGCACCAACGCTTGCTAGCATCTGAAACATGGTTGCCCTGCTTAGGAGGGAACAAAGGAAACATGTTTGGGCGGGTGAAACGTTGAGCAAGTGAAGCACCTTAGGCCCAACTGGCTTTTGGGGACCAAAACCCCACTACACCTCCCCCACGGCAAACTCATGTTGGTGTATTTCAGCTTGACCCCAGTAGGGGTCATCAGGAGAAAGACCTTCGGTTCCACAGCTGGTTGCTTTGCCAAAAGGCCAAAAGGCAATCCACATAGCTCACCAAATAAGTTCTTGTACTTAGACAATTTGAGGCTGAACACATTTTTGCCTCTTGCTTCCACTCTTTTTGGCAGGGCATTCCAGCTATGTCTAATTTCGGAAGCCCTTGGACACAATTGGGGATGGGTGTCCATTTTTCCCACTTTCCAGGGGCTCCGACTACTCAGCCAGCTCTTGAACCAAAAATCACAGGTGAGTTGCGGATCTTTCTACTTGTCAGGGGTTCCGACTCAAGAAAGAACCACGGGAACTTCCATTTTTCCACTCAGTCGACTCTTGAAACAAAAACAGCTTGAATCACGTCTAATTCAGGCTTCACAAAAACTAGCTTGCACAAGACGCCCCGGGTCATTTCTCCGCATCCGCTGGAGGCTTTGCAGCTGCTTGAGCGCCATCAAGTCGCACGCCAAGTGGAGCATGGCGCGGCTGCACGCGGCGCAGGTCTCCTTGTCGGTGCCCACGCGCCTCGCCTGAGTTGCCTTCGCGGCCATGTGGGGGCAACGGACGCCCCAAGGAAGTGAGGTCAACGCGGACATTCGCCCGGATTGGGAGAGAAGGGTACAAAGGTCTAAGATAGGTCCCGAAGGGAGAATCAGAGGTGGCTACTTTACCAACTTGCTTTTAGCATTGAAATGCAACAAATACTGTGTTTTCCTTGGTTGCTCGGGGAATCGGGGAGACAATCTCGCAGGGGATGCAGCCACTCGCTCGTCCGGAGCGAGGCATTTCTACCGACCGGAGGACTACTACGGGTCCCCACGGACAATGGACAGGCCGGAGCGAGCTTTCGGGGTGTTGGAGCGGAAGCCAAGAAGAAGCTGACGTCAGGACCCACGTTGCCATCCCCACGTTGAATTAGTCATAGGGCTTGGGGAGGTCCCCATCAAGTTCCCATGGCTTCCCTGGGGGTGCAGAAGTCAAGGTGGAAACACGGGCGTTTTGGGGATCGTTTGCTCAAATGTTTGGGCAATGAGTCAGACTACTTTTCAAGGGGGTCAATGCTGTTCTTGCTGACGTCGCAAGGATTTGGAGTACTGGTTAGGGCCCCCCTATTCTGTGCAGCCCTACTGGTTGATATGCTTGTCTAGGTTGATGACGTATGTTGTGCTGCTTGTTCCCAGATCAGGCAGACCTTTCCCCACCCTTGTTCTCTCTCTGCTTTGTGGCTTCACCAGGTCAATCCCACGAAGACATCGCTTTTTCTACTTACCAGGGTCACTGGTGGCAACCGGGGAAAAGTCTTGTTTAAGAAGCCCTGCCAGCGCCTCAAGACTCCCTGAACTCCGTTGGAACATCCCACCAACCAGGCCGATGCTTCAGGCTTCAGCAAGCGCTCCTTCACTTCTTGGGCTTAAACCACGCCCCAGGCAATCCGCCAGGTTTGTCACTCCGGGGTTGGCCTAGAGAGTTGGAGCCTAGGCCTGACCGTCGCCTGGAGCATCGCGGGGAGATCCTGGACATGCTCATCAACCTCTACCTGCCCAAAGATCGGCCGCTGAGAGTTGCAGAGGTGGGCGTGTTCCAGGCCGGCGTCGCGATCTTCGCTGAGCCGCCCCGGTTTTCCGAGGTGATATGAAGTGATTCTAGCATACAAGGTTGCACAACTATGAACCAGAATCTATACATGTTTGATTGCTGTGTGGCTTCCGGAGCCATTTTACCACGAGCAGAACGGCTGCGGAGTTTCCAGGCGGCCAGATGTTCCGTTCAAATCATGCCTTTTGGAAGCTGGATGGATGTCCTTTTGCCTCCCTTTCGAGGTGTCGCAAAGGGTGCGCAGCTCAGAACCACACGGCCCATGATGTTCAAGTGCCTAAGGAAGGCGTACGAGGGTGGATATGTTGAAGCCAAGCCCCCCCCAAAAAATTCTTGCCGGACAAGTGGCACAGCTTCAGTCAGTTCCCCCAAGACGTTCGGGCAGATGCCGCTGATTTGAGCCAATGGATGGTTGCAATGGGCGGCAGGGGGAGACCTCCTTTATGCTGCTCCAGCGCCATCCGCGGCTTCACCTCTTTCTGGTGGATCCCTACTACGACGGCAGCGCCCGCAGCTGTGAAGGAGACAGTGGAGCCTGTTTGTGGCGCGCAAGTTCACGGATCTGGGGGTGAAGCGAGCTCGCTATGATGCGGGTCCTTTGCTTGGGCTTTTTTTTTGAGGTGTTGGTAATGTTTCAAAGTTTGCAGATTCAAGAATTGACCTGAGTCTCTGTAGGGCGGTGACCCCCAAACCGAGGATTGATTGTTTGGTAGGCCTCCGATGTTTTTTGCGCATCAGCTTGGTTCAGGTTTGGGGGCTCAGGAAAGGCAGCGTGGGGACCCAAGATGAAGGTTCTTGATACTGTGGACGGACGAAATCCATTTCGCACCACTTTGCAACCACGGGAAACCCTTGTTGGTTGGTATTTACAAGCGAATCAGGATTCCCGGGTTGCTCAGGGGGTGCAGGATTTCGTCCATCCACAGTAGCTCTTTGTTTGTTACCCGCTGCCAGCATTTGTAAGCTCTGCAGCGCATCGAGTGCCTCAGAGTTTTGGGACTGGCCGGTTTTGCTCAGTTCAGTCATGGCCCTAAACTGCAAAATCCGTATTAATAGTGTATATACACTACATTGCGTAGCCTTATGTTTACATGGCTGGTATCTCGCCAACTGGGAGGTATGGCCGTCCAGCAATGCGGTGCACCAACTCGCGTATAGCACTGGGGGTATAGCACATTTGCCCTCTTCTTACTGCTCAAGGATAAGGGTTTTATACATGAATGTTACATGAACCTGTAATCATGCAACTGTATCTCCCAGATGTCCAAAACAAGCAGCGTGCATGCGAAAAAGCCCTATCGCTATCCAAAGGCTGAGGCCTGTTAATTACAGCATTCTGCCGACCAGAAATCAGAAGGTTGTTGAGGACCTCACTCACTGTGAGTGTTCCGCCAGCTGAAGGCTTCCGTCTAAAATGGGACACCAACCCCTAGTACTCAAGCGGATTTCCGAATCCTTCCCCTTTTTCCCGTTCTGGTTGCCACTGAGCGGCAAGAAGCATCGGCGGCTGTCCGGTGGCCTGCGCCTTTTTCCTCTTTGAGGTGGGTTGATTCTCGTTGCGTGCACTTCCGAAATCTTCCGAAGCTTTTTGCGGATGGACATCGTCAGTTTCATTTGTATCTTTTTCAACAGCCGTGAGACCAAGTAGGCCGCCAGGTTCAGTTCGAACAGGGCCCAACGCGCAAGTGCTTAGGGTGTAGGCTCCCAACGCTCCTGCAAACCTGGGGTAGAGGTTGGGTTTTGCCCTCCCCTCATGGGAAACCCCTCCCTGGAAATGTGAACGCTCCGCCTGGACCAGGTGCGCCGGCTAGGCCTCAAAATGGGCTCGTCGTGCTCGCCTGAAGAGCTGAAGAGGGCGCCCCGAGTTCCTGGACTTTGCACTTGGAGAGACCATTTTAGACTTGTCCAAACTGGAACAGTTCAGGACCATTGCGAAACTTTCCAAACTGTCAAAGATCAGTGTAAAGTCCAGTAACTGTGTAAGAGGACCATTTCAGACCATGTACGTACTGTTTGAACATAAGACAAGTTCAGACTTTTTTGGCCAGTGCATGCGCGGGGTGAGCACAGGAACTGATTGCACGGTGTCCCTCTCGCCGACCTACCTGCGGGCCCTTAGTCGCCACATGACACCGAATCGGTCGATTCGGTCGATTCGGGCTTTTTCTGCCCCAAGATACCCCCGTTTCCCGGCTTTGGGCGTTTGAGACAGATGAAGAAGCCTTTGTGAAGGAGGGTTTCTAAAACTTCTGGTGGGTCCCTTGGTTCGGAAACAGAGGGAAAACTGACAGATGAACGTCGCATTCTGAGCTTAGCTAAGATCTGCCAAACTCGCAGCCTCATGTTCAACCCTGAGTAAGGTTCCGAAAGTTCCGCCACCCTTTCTTTCGGGTGGGCAGGCCTGATGAGAAAGGTTCCGAAAATTCTACCACAGGATCAGGTTCCCTTTCTTTTAGGTCTCCAGGTTTTCCTTCGAACACCCGTTCGCAGAATTGGCAATCAAGGATCTACATGTGGCAAGTTCGCCTCCCAGACACTTCTAGTCTACATTCTTCCCCACCATTTGTGGCAATCCTTGGTTTTCTCGGGAGGAGAGCTGAATTTTCCCAGAGAATTTCGGCGGTTTCCCACGGGACGGGTGGCAAGACGTGCGTGTCAGATGCTTTTCCTCGGTGAGGTGTCTGGGAGTTCCGCCAGCGCGCCAGCTTCGTGATGCAAGAGAGCCGCTGGAGCGGCGAGAAATTGGCTCGGGGCTTTTCATGGCAGGGCTGTGACTGACTCAGACTTTTGATCGAGTTGGGATTTGAGCGTTTTGGGTTTGGAATGTTTGGACCATTGCAATATAAAGTACAGGCTTGTTTTTTTGCACTTGAAGCTTTTTGGGTCTGGAATGATTGGACCGTTTCAAAAGGTAGATAGAAAGTTCAGGCTTGTTTGGGCCAATCCACTGGTTCGGAAGTGAGTTTATGACGGAATCGGGCTGGATCGACCTCCTCTCACTTGCAAGCAAACCGAATCGACCGGATCTGGGGCATTTGGTTTGCCTGAGTTGGTCCACGTTTAAAGTTGTTCAATTTCCCCGGGTGAACATGTCAACCAGAAAAGTGCTGTCTCGAAACCGGATTCAGAACAAATGGCACGGCCTTCCGGTTCTGAAAAGTGGTCAAGGTTCCCAAGCTGGAACCTGTGAGTTCATGGCCAGTGAGTTCAAGCCAATGGCTTCCAGCAAGCTTTCTCAAGGGCCGACCTAAACTGGAGCAACCCAGCGATTGGTGCAAGTCTGAAAAAAATCGAGAACCCTCCACATGTTGGGCATAATTCCAGGCCCCCTTGGAATTTCAGGGGTATGCTCGAAAGGTCATTTTGGAGGATATTCTTGGAATCCCTTCCTTAGCTTGTGTGTTCTGGCACAATGTTTTGGCTGAGATTTAACCCCTTGCGCAAAATGGAGGGGCCCCCAAAGGGTTAAGCGGTACACATGGGAGCCCTCAACCACTCCCATCCCGCAAGGCGTGGAAGCGGCCAAGTGGGTGGGCAACGCCACGCTCGCCCCTTGGCAGCACAGGCCGATCGAGGTGGGGTTATTTGCATCGGCCGCGGGCGCATTGCATGTCAGAGCGCCTCACTTCGCATTTGTGTTTGAGGCCTCAAGCAGCCATGCGCCCCTTCATATTCAAATCCTTGGGCGCGGCCCCCTATTTTTTTCGAAGACTTGAAGCCAAACTTCCGATAACCCAGGAATTGCTTATTTCGCCAATGCTCGGTCACAGCCTAGGACATGGTCTTCATTGACGGCGACCACAGCCTCTTGGGCATCGCAGTGAAGCATTTGAACTCTTTCCCCGAAGGCGAACTGACCCGCGTGCTTGTGAACACTGGATAGGTTCGAACTGCTCTTACGGATCATATGGTCCATCAGTTCTACTCATGACGAAGTGTCACTATCCCATACTGCAAACCAAACTGGAAGGATTAGTTCATTTGAATCCTGTTTGCACATGTGTGTGTTTGTGTGCAGATCATCGCTTCTGGTCTTTGGATGTCTTTGCCAGGATTGCCAGGATGCCATTTTGTTCTCAAGTTGGTGGGTACTGTAATTCTTGAAGGGGGGCGTGCCCCGAAAGTACACTCTGCTTATTGCCCTTTCTGGATACAAGGGAGCCGTTTTTGGAGCTATGACCTGACACATTTGGCTCCCTGGAGCAAAGCCGCCTCTCCCTTGTCCTTGCAGAATTTTCGGCCTAGGCTATGAGGCTGTGGTTGGGGATCTGTCCGCCTGGTGGCCCACGCTGCTCCCGGGCGCCATCTTGGCCGGCCACGACTACGTGGGCGCCCCAGGACGCTGAAGAGCCGGAATCGCGTTGGTGCGATTCCGTCGTTGGCTACCCTCCCCCAACCTAACATGGAAGCTTGCAGGACCCCTTAAGACTTGGTTCCATTTACAGAGGCCTGGGAGCTTCCGTGTAAGCCTGAGGGAGTGTAAGAATTGATCCATTCGAGCAGGTGCTCCTCCGTGCCAACTCACTTGCGTCGTAAGTTGGACCATCTACTTTCAGCCAACCGCAATTTAGGTCGAAGCCTCCGAAAGTCAACCTAACCTGCGGTAGCGAATTGGGCTGGTTTTCTTCGGCTTTGTGCTTGTGCCAGAGTCTTTGGAGCGGCTAACGTTGGCTCCGGAAAGGTAAGCCCGGCGGATTCTGGAAAATGTTGCCCCAACTTGCAGCATCCCTTCGAAAATTGAAGATTCATTTGTTCCCCACTATTTCTCAACCTAGGGTTTATGAGCGCTGGGTCATGGGTGGGTGGGTGGGTGGGTGGGTGGGTGGGTGGGTGGGTGGGTGGGTGGGTGGGTGGGTGGGTGGGTGGGTGGGTGGGTGGGTGGGTGGGTGGGTTCCTTTCTTTCCTGGTGGAGTGTTTGCATTGTTTTTGGTTCATACTTTGGATTGACTCCGGCCGCCCCTGGGGCACTATCTATCAAAGATGCCAGGAAGCGACTGCCACCTTCTCTAGGCGTTAGTGTTCCAAACAGGTGGTGGGTTCAGGGCTGCTTGGCATGTGGCAGGGTCCTTGGTAGGAAAGTATCCTTGTAGGACACCTGAGGAGCACCGCCACGTTTTGCCTAGCAACAAAAAATACAACTGTTCAGGTATGGGGATTGAAGATGCGTAGCACCAAAGCAAGAGGTCACAACAAACACAGCCGTTGACATATGACTTACCTCCGTGCATGCTTGTTAACGAGGTCTCATATCTTGCTTTCTTTTTTTCTCCGCCATGCCTGGAGAAGCCCTGGCAAGTGTCGCTTGCTTGGCCAGCGGAAGGCTTGCGTCACCTAGGCCCCTCATAGCCCTGGGGTCGCACGAGCTGTGCACCAGCATGCGGCGAAGTATCAGGCAAGCCGGGCATGCGCGGAGGAAGAAGGGTTCCTTGATCAGGTGTCCTTTTATGTCCTTTGCCCCGAGTGGTTCAGTGTCTTTTTGCTTGGTATATTGTCAACCCCACATCAAAAGGGCAGGGTCACTGGGCGACCGAGTTTTCGATTGGTCCGAGCATCACCTCCTCTTTTGCGGGCCATGTTTTCGCGGGGCCGAGGAACTCTGTGCGCATGTCAGCAGTCATTTGTGGCATGCAGTGAAGCCCCAAGTTTGAGCTTGAGGCAAAAAGTGAAAGGGAGTCATCAGGTCGGCTGGCCAGGTGCCTTTGTACCTCGGCCTGGACGTCTGGTTCACAGCCAAGTCACCAGGGCCGCATCTCCCAGCAGAGTAAAAAGCTGGCGCGCCCCCGTCATGCAAGTCGAGTCCCGGGTGCCTCGGTGAAGAGTTTCCCGAGCTGGGTGGCACCCTTGTGCCGTTTTCTTTGGCTTGCCCATAAATATGGTCACCACTTGCAGGGACAACATGCAATGCCTTTGGTAAGTAGCGCATACACCAGCCACAGTTCTTGATGAATTCGCTTGTCCTGTGGCCCTTCGGCGGCTTCATTTTACCAATGCTTTCGGCGTGTAGACGGGAAAGCTTCGTTTACACGCACACGGCAACACAAAGACAGCCCCATGTTCTGGGAATACCCCGTAATGTTGACCCGGATTAATACACCCCTGTTTATTAATAGGTGGTTGTGCCTGGGTTTAGTGGAGATTCATCACTTTTGAAGGGGAACAACCCCAGATTAGAAGACAGGGGTTGATTGATATGGGGTCAACATTAACCCCAACGCAGCAACTTGCCTTTGCTGGGGGGGGGGGGGGGGGGCAACCTTGGGATGGGAAGCTGAAGTGAGAGATGGAGTGAGAGGGCCCAATTTCCCCACTAGAGCTCTTGCCCTTCAAAGAACCCCTTCGGAGTATGTGGCTGTGGGTCAAAACCAATGGACCAATGGTACCATTTTGGGGTGGGTGCACCCCCCATTTTCCATTTTCGTCTATTTTAGAGGGGATGGGGATGTTCACCGGGGGTATTTGGATTTTGACCCATGGCCATGTGGTTCCAAACGCGTTGAGAATCTTTGTGGCGACGAGTCGTTTCCCGTAGCTCCAGGATCTCAGCAGCCAGCTCCAACAGGCCTGTGAAGCGGGAAATTCGGGGGGACGAGCCTCAGATATGAGGTGGGCTAAGGGGGATCCCTGATTTCAGGCTTGGGAGTTGCTGAAGAAAATGCAATGCGTTTCCCAGGGGTAAGTCTTCTCCTCCAGGTTGCCTGAACTGAAGATACCCTGCTTTGCTTCAGATCTTCTGGTTGCAATCGATGGCGATTGACCTCAACGCAGCGAGGTCAGAGCAGACATTGCGCCAAGGACTTGCAGCACTTTCGAGGGCCCCTCCTCAAGCAATCAGTCCTGTGGATGGACGCAATCCTGCACCACTTTGAAACCATGAGAAACCAGTGCTGGTTGGTAATTAGAGGGGAATCATCATTCCAGTGGTTCTTGGGTGGTGCAGGATTTCGTCCAGTTTGTTGGACTGGCACATGTGGCAGCCCTTACATGCAGCAGCCGTGGTTCGCGCGAGTGCTTGAGAAGCGTTGCAGAGTTTCTAGGGTTTGGGCGGTTTTTTGTACAGTCGCGTGCCTTTCTCCGGGATGGTGACTGAGTGTTCCTCAGCTTTGGGCCAGGCAAATGCAGAACACGGCTAAGAGAAAGAATGCTAAAGCCACCCTGGCAGCCATGGTCTTTGACCCTAAGACGGCCCGTTCCAATAGGCAGAGGCATCTAGTGCCAGGTGAGAGGGTCTATAATCTGTTTGAAGGGAGTCTCTCCTTTTTTTGGGGGACCCTAAACCCCGAAGGCTCCAAACAATCAGGACCCGGGTAAGTTCTTTGGGACGAGCTCAGACAACCCCGGCCCCCAGCCCCGGAATCAGCCTTGAAAAGGAGCAGGTTCCTTCAGAGCTGCTTGGCGCTTAGGGCTTAGCCTTTAACTGGCCCTAGGGGTCCCAAGAGCCAAATCCATGCGCATGGATGTCTCGCCGCGCCCGCCTTCCATCCCCTCCGGTGTGAGCATTCGCTTGGAGGATCTCTTGGATCAGGCAAGCCGCTGTGCATTTGCGCTCGCAAAGTGGAACCTGACTGGGAGTTCTTTCCCAGAGAAAGAATGCTCCCCAAATCAACAGTTGGATGCAAACACTGACACAGGGAGGCTCCAAAAGGACTTCCCTGGTGGTTACATATCAACTTCAGGGATGTTTCTTTTCGCAACAGGAGAAGTCATTGTTGAAAGTGTGAAGCTTAACTTTCTGGAGCTAGGCGCCCTTTGTTTCATTGTCGTTTGTCTAGCAACTCGGGTGGGTTGGCAACAACATTTGCAGGTGCAAGTCATCTTGGCCTTGATCTGATCCGATGTGTTATTCAATTCGCCTGCCCTTGGCTGTTTCCTTCCCATGGCTGTGCTCCAGACCCCGGCCTTGAAAAGCACTACTTGGGCATATCCAGGCCTTTCACTTTCGTTCTCAGGCGTGCTAAGTAGCCTGGCCCTTTAGGGGGTACTCATAATATGGATCATTCAAGTACTGTACCCCAATCATGGTTCCAAACAGCGAGAAAAAAGAACATGCAGTGTGAGGCGCCTGACTTAGCAATGGGTGTTGCCTCTGGGACAAAATCCAAATTAGCCGAAACGTTTCATTCCCATGTTTGGTCCAATTTTCGTCAGAGCCTGTCCCCATCCCCTTGATGTGCAAGCCGGAGGTACGCATTCATCAAGGCTTAAGCGGGTTCTCTTAGTTGGGCGGTGCAAAAAGAAGCGCCCCCTCACGATGTTTTGGAGTTATGTCCTTGTCCTGCATCGGCTGGCAGGTGCACAGCCTCCGCTACGCGAGCAGCCCCAAGCCCTGGCTGGACACAGAAGGTCACCTAGCTGCCCAGTAAGATTTGTGCTTGTTATTTCTCGTTGTGGTGTGTTGGAAACGGAACAACGGACAAACAGACAACAACCACACCAGCCGGCGAGTCAGGAAGCAAACAAACAAGCAAAATACAAAACAAAGAACAGAAGTAACCAACTACGCAAAGACTGAAACAAAGCAATTATGGCGGAAATAATCCAAGAAGCAAACAACACCATCTTTTTTAAATCAACCAACAAACAAGGCCATCCGTTTTCTTCCCAGCGCCTGGTCAAGTCAGGAAACTTCCTTTGGTCCCGCGGGAGGATCAATGCCGCCCGCGTGGTCCTGTCCCAGGCATTCGAGACCTGCATGGGGCTGATCATCCTCGCGAACATGGGCCTTCTCGCGTTTCTCTCTGCAAAGAGATCTGGGGAAAGTGTGCAAGCCCGTTTTCCGGAAAGGAAAAGCCCTTGGTAGGCAAAAAAAAGGAACCAACTTAAGAAACCCAGCTTTTGGTGGGGTTTGTTTATTTTGACTGACCTGCCCATCAGTTGCCGATTCAACCGTGGCCACCCTTTGTCTCTACGAGTCATGGGCTTCAAGTTAGTTCATCGCTTACCTGCGTGTGCTGACGGCGAAAGAGGCAATGAGTTGCCTCCTTAGTAGCCTGGGCAAAAGAAACATGCTCAGCGCCCAAAGGTGAGTTGAGCTTCACTGAAGTTTTAGCCGTGTTTTCTTGTTCAGCCCCCAACCGTGTTCGACTTATGAATGTCTTAGCCCCCAAACGTTTTCAGCACATGAATGTCCAATGTGACTGAGGTTCGAAGCCAACCAGGATGCCAAGTGCTACCCCAGCTACGCCGAGACTTTCCAGGACTGCCCCTACCGCAGCGATGCCATCGACTGGTCGGAAGATCTCAGCACCGCACTGCTGCTGATCTACTCCTTGGAGTGCCTCGCACGGGCCTTCGTGGAGCGCCAAAGCTACCTGGAACTCACTCGGGTTGGTTGCCAGCGATATTTGGTGGGAAGACCTGTGGCAAGAAGTGGGTGTGTGTTTTTTGTTTTAAGGGAACACCACAAAGAAACCAGCCATTTCAGGGGAGTCCCCTCATTTTAAGACCCAGGTTTTTTGGTTTGGCCAATCCGCTCGATCAAAATTTCGTTTTTTTTTTTTTGTTTTCTCTCTTTTTTTTCAAAAAGCTCGACTTTTAGCAGTGGACCAACTAATCACTCAGGTTACTTTGCCCGGAGACGGCCTTGTTTGTTTTTGGTCGTTGTGTTGCCTGCTTTGTGTCGTGCGGTTTTTCCTTCAAAAGGTCCTTTGCATGGGATGACCATTCGGGGAAGCCATCAAAAATATGTCCCGATCAAATGAGAACAAATTTCCATGTGCAAGGTCATTGGGTGAACGGAATATTGAGCAACCCCCCCCATGTGGTTTGGTCTGAAGCCAAAAGGTCAACTTTCGGATGTCCCGATGCACGTGAGGTTACCTCTGCAACCCTTGGAGCCATGGTCAGCACTTAATGCCTGACCAAAAGACCAAAAGCGCGGGGGAGCACGGCCGCTTTGTTTTTCTTGCGCGGACAAGAAGGTACGTGTGGGGTTTCTTTAGATACCTTCTGTTGGTTGCCAATCAAAAGTGATTCTCCTTCTGCCGAGGTGATGCTTGGGATGGGGAATCTTGTGCAAGATCAGGCCACGCAAGGCTGTGACGATTGGGGGTTATAAGGGCCCCTGCATGAACGAGGGATACATGTATATGTACCGTCCTGCTTTCAGTCCAAGGAACAGCCTGGACTTTGCGACCGTTCTCGTGGGCTGGTCGGGCAAAGTCTTCACCACGACGCTCAACATCACCTTCCTGAGATCCTTTCGCCTTATGACGCGCAGCTGCTTAGCGCCTGCTTTGTGTGCGTTTGTTTTTTTGCGATTGGCAGTTTTTTCAAGCTCTCAACCACGTGCCCTTGAGGTGGGCAACCTTGAAGTATTCGTTGCCCGGAGTTGAACTGAAATTATAGTGGGGGGCACGCCTCCAGCAGCAAGTAGGTATTTCCCTTAAATGCTTTTGTCTTTTGCTGCTGGTTGAGGAGCTTGCTTTGTCCCACCCAGTCCTGTTGTTTGACGCTCATTGCTCACCAGCTGCTCTGAAAGTGTTTAGGGTCCAAATGGAAAGACAAGGGGATGAATCTTAAATGCTGCAGAATTATAGGTGGCCCCAAGATATGACCGAAATGCAGCGTGAAGTCAGTGACCAGTCCTACCACATGCGCCATCATGGCTTCTAAAATACAGTGGACGGACGAAATCCGTTCGCACCACCCAAGAAGCCATGAAAACCACTGCTTGTTGGTATTTGCAGGGGAATCATAATCCAGGGATTCTCAGGTGGTGCAGGATTTTGTCCATCCACAGTAGGGCAATGTTTAGGTGGGAAGTGACAGAAATCCCGTTACGGATTCCGCATCGTTTTGTTTTCGAATGAGAGTCTTCCCCAATCACGCAATGATTTGTGGTTCCCATCTTATGGCTACTCTTTCAAATTTGCAAAGGCCAAATAAAGGTTATTCAAACAACACATGCTCCATGTGAAATCTAACAAGAACCCAACACAGCTTTGAGGGCCGCTGCTTTTTTCCAACCAAGCACTTGTTTTGTGTTGTTCATCAAATGTAAGTCTTGATGTCTAAGACTGGAAGTATCTGGAAGTACATTCATGTATTCATATCTCGTGGTGTCTGGTCACCAACCCACTATCTTTTAGGTACATAGCTCCTTTTTTTTGCAGAGGGGATTGAACACCAGCAGGCCTTTGAGAGTCATTTATCTAAGAGGTGCTCAGTTCTGGACGCAACGGAAAAGAAACAGAGAGAGAGAGAGAGCGAAACATATACCATACATATATATATATATATGTACATACATATACCTGAGTCCTCCGACACATGCTTTTTTTCTGCTCTTTCGAGAAGAATTGTCTATTTTGGGATGCGAGCGGAAATTTCTGCTTGCGAGCGTTTTTGGTGTTTGTCAGGAAACCCCACCATTGGTGCTTTCGAATGGGTTTTGTCGGCCATCTGCAGCTGTGGTGGCTGGCCCCCGGCCCATGCTCGACTCCAGCACGTGCCCTTCGCACTTTTTCACGCCGTCACAGCTTCTGACCTGGGCCGCTCGACAGGTACAAGGCATGGCTGGAAGGATCGCCCTGAGGTCACTCTGTTGAGGTCACCCTGGCATGTTTCCGTTCCTACCCTACGTTGGGCTTGGCACTTGAGAGCGGCCAGGTTCTACGGAGCATTCAGGTGAACATCGGGGGGGTCACTCTGGCGTGTTTCTGTTCCAACCTTACTTTGGGCTTGGCACTTGAGAGCGGCCAGGTTCTACGGAGCACTCAGGTGAACATCGGGGGATTTCGGGGGTGCCACCTGGTCCGGGCACTGCAGGCTTGTTTGTGGATGTTGGGTTACTGGCATGTTTCCGTTCCTACCCTACGTTGGGCTTGGCACTTGAGAACGGCCAGGTTCTACGGAGCATTCAGGTGAACATCGGGGGATTTCGGGGGTGCCACCTGGTCTGGGCACTGCAGGCTTGTTTGTGGATGTTGGGGTATACTGGCATGTTTCCGTTCCTACCCTACGAAGGGCTTCACTTGAGAGCGGCCAGGTTCTACGGAGCATTCAGGTGAACATCGGGGGGGTCACTCTGGCGTGTTTCCGTTCCTACCCTACGTTGGGCTTGGCACTTGAGAACGGCCAGGTTCTACGGAGCATTCAGGTGAACATCGGGGGATTTCGGGGGTGCCACCTGGTCTGGGCACTGCAGGCATGTTTGTGGATGTTGGGTTACTGGCATGTTTCCGTTCCTACCCTACGTTGGGCTTGGCACTTGAGAACGGCCAGGTTCTACGGAGCATTCAGGTGATCCTCGGGGGTGCCACCTTGTCTGGGCACTGCAGGCATGTTTGTGGATGTTGGGTTACTGGCATGTTTCCGTTCCTACCCTACGAAGGGCTTGGCACTTGAGAGCGGCCAGGTTCTACGGAGCATTCAGGTGATCCTCGGGGGTGCCACCTGGTCTGGGCACTGCAGGCATGTTTGTGGATGTTGGTTTTGACGGGTTGTTGGGCACTTACAAGTCTCCGCTTTTTTTGGGCCCAATCCGGTATTCGATCCCTTTCAGCTTTAGCTTACAAGATGGCGTCCTTGGCGGAGCTTTGGGAGGGTGAGGCCAGCTTGAGGCGCTGCGCCCGGGTAAATGGTCGGCTCACGCAATGGCCGAATCCGGCCTTGATTGGGATACCAAGTATGAAGGCCGTTGCGCAGAACGGTGCCCTGATTACCTTGACCGCGACATGGTGGACTGCCAGGTCGAAGGAGCCCAGGAGTATCCCGATCGGGGAGCTCAGGGGAGAGGCCAGCCCGGGGGCGAACACAAGTTGATTTGGTTGTGGAAAAGCATGTTCCTTGAGTGGTGGGACCAATGTGAGGGAATACAAATTGAATTGACTGTGGAAAGCCAGAAATACTTAAGTGGTGGGACTGATGAGGCCGAAGACAAATTGATTTGGTTGTGGAGGGCAATTTTCTTGAGTGGTGGGACCGATGGGGCTGAACACAAGTTGACTTGGTTATGGAAAACAGGTGGCGGCCCACAAATTGACTTGGTTTCTGGAAAACCTTGTCTGAATGGTGGGACCGATGGGGCGGAACGCAAATTGAGCTGGTGGTGGGAAGCCATGTTTCCTGAGTGGTGGGACTGATGGGTGCCAACACAAACTGAAATGGTTGTGCAAAGCCATGTTCCTGGAGTGGTGGGACCGATGGGGCCGAACACAAACTGATTGTGCAAAACCAACAGTTCTTGAGTGATGGGCCCGCAAATTGACTTAGTTAAGGAATACCATGTTCCCTGAGATGTGGGACCTATGGGGGCAAACACGACTTGGTGTGGTTGTGGAAAAATGTTTCTTACCTGGTGGGGCTGATAGGGGGCGAACACATAGTGACTTGGTTGTGGAAACCCATGTTCCTGGAGTGGTGGGATCAATGAGGCCGAACACGTACTGACCTGGTTGTGGAAACCAATGCTTCTTG